AACCATCAAGAATATAATAAAAAGAGAAAGTGCTAGGAGGGTTCCATTCATAAATCTACAGGTGCATTCCAAACAAAATCTGTTTAAACAAGGGTGTAATTGGTAGATAGCTGCAGAGGAGCTAGTTCTATAAGACACTTATTTTAGTTTTATTGGGGGGCCTTCAAAATTAGGGGGGGAAGCATATTTTTTTGCCACGGAGGGGGGGGGGCATAATCTTGAGGTCAGGGTTAACATGAAACTTTTAACAAATCTTCCCAAATCATTGAAGCTTTGCAACATATTTATGGGAATGCTGCGTCACATAGAACAACAGTTTTCAGATGGCTCAAAAAGATCAGGAGGACTCAGAGGAGCGAGACAATGGTCAACTTAGAAGGTCATGCCACCTACTTTGGGGGACTCCAATGGGGTATCTTGATAGGTTTTCTCCGAGGACACAAGACAACCACAGAGACTTTGGGGGAAGTTGTTTGTTTGTTTTGAGTTGAAAATGACATTAGTGAGAAAAAGGACAGGAAAGTTGTGCTGAGCATTTTTTCCCCATCACAACAATGTGCCTGTTCACTCTTCAAGGCTGGTAAAGGTTTCCCTTTAAGAATCCTTACCCCAAACACCCTGAAACCCTCATCTTTCCCCCCTTCTAGACTTCAATTTGTTCAAAAAACTTGAAGAACATTTAAAAGAAACATGATCTGAATTCCTAGTGGATACCCAAACTGCCATTTTGACAAAGTGCAAATTGAACAGTGCAGAAAGAGTTAAAGAAATAAAAATATCACCTTCAGACGTGTACAGAACTAAATGGAGGATATGTGCAGCAACAATGGCATTTTATTTTATACTTTTGTTTAATAAAATATTCTATGATTTTGTAGCAATACTGTTTTATTTGCCCTTGTTCTCCAGGAGTTGCTGGCATTAAAGCTAGTAAACAAAGGCTTGCTTTTGCAAGCTCTCCTATTCTTAATGTTTGCTCAATATGGGAAGATTTTTAAATTAAGATTGATAGATGGATAGATACATACATACATAGACAGATAGATAGATGGATAGCTGCTATTGAGTCAACTCCAACCCTTTGGCAATCTATTATTGATTAACTTATTCAAACATCAACTAACTTTTATTCCTGAATATTTTATAATAAATCTCCATGAAATAGAAGAGAAAACCTTTGCCCAGTTCTGCATTGTCCTCACAATCACCAGTATGTTGGAATCTGTCTTGCGACTATTATACTAATTAATCTCCTTCACCCTTCTTGGCCCTCTTTTTCACTACACTGATATACTCCTCCAGTTACTATATTCAACATTCTTAAAACCCCACTATACAAAACAAGTCAATACACACACTCATATACAAGTAGCTAAATAATTTCAAGTTACGTAATTAGGATGTCTATGCTACAATAATCACAGGTCTCCTTTGGGTCCAGTCTGAGAACCCGTGTCTCAAACCTTGAACAAGTAGCCCTTGCTGCTTGTAACCACTGACTGTCTGAAGACTATTTGGCAACACATGCCAATATCCACTATATGAAAGAAAAGCAGCAGGGCCTTTAATGCTTACATCTGTAAGCCACTGAAGTATTCAAGAAAGGTCCAGTCTGATCCTTTAGACTTGGCATTCCCCACCTTACCAAGTAGTAGCATGTGTCTCAAAGTTTCTGCAAAAAAAAGGGTGGGGTGACTATTGACTCCCCTGTGAATTTCACAACATGTATCAGGAATTATGGCCAGTTCCCTCTGTGAATTTCTCATGATTCCACTCAACACATGGACATGAAATGTTAGATGGAGACCACAAAGATAATACTTGCCAACACTGAAGTGTTGTACACAACTTCTCTGAGTTTCTGTGCAAACATTGAGATGCACTGTCACAACCCTCACCAATGTGCACAAACCTAGGTTAGGTGAACAGATAGGCTCCCAAACATCTTTGGTCTACTTCCCCCTTTGCAGAAAAAAAATTACTCAGTGCTCCCTGGCAGTGAAAACCTTTTGTGCTACCACTCATAAGCCGGAATGAAGTGTAAATATCTGCATGTGAATCCCCGTGAATTGTTGCAGTACCTCCCTTACTTTGATAAACAATGTATTAACAGAACCAGCTCCGTGAGCAATCATCTGCACAAGAGCACACCAAAGCATTTGCAAACAGAACTAACTTAACAAGATTCCCCTTAGCCATACAGCACAAACACTGAACACAAGTGAAAACTTATTTTTCTCAAATTGATCACTGCAATGCTAAGTCTGTGTATATTAAGTTTACAGTATAAAACCCGAAACCAACATTCTGGTGAAGAGGAAATTCGGGCTCATTTATCAAGGATGTTAAGGATTAGGGTGGCTCATTGGTTTCCCAAGGTCAAATAAAATTCCTAGCAGGAAATTGATCTCCTGAGATTCTAATCTACTGCGGAAAGAATTCCAAAATGGCCACATTAATTTTCCAGACTGTTCTTAATGAGTCCGCTTAGAAGATAGGTATAAGCAAGTGGCTGAGCTATAGCATTTTTAAAATATCAGACAAGAAACCCATAAGGCAAGAGTGGGGAACATATAACCCATGGGCCATATTAGGCCTGTGAAATCAATACTAACTAACATCACACACCTCGCCAAAGAGGAGCAGTTCCAGCCATCACAATAGGGGTGAATTAACTAAATGTTTGGCCAGTTTCACTGGAAGGTGGTGTTATAAATCCAAAGGTCCCTTGGCAAAAAAAAAAAAAGTGTCCCCACTCCTCCCATAAGGGAAACTTTGCAATGCCCCCAGATATGCATTTCCCAATTTCAGAGAAGGTGTGAGTGTGTTCAAAGTTTAGGATTGTTGGGCTTAATTAGATCCTGATGGTAGCACCATGGAGTTTGGACGAGTAATGCTTAAACCACGTGTGCCTAAGTGTTAGAGGCATTGTCTTGAGACCAGTAGGCAGCCTGAGCTTTGGGTGCTTCCTCACTCTAAACTGGCTTATCCTTACACAATAGTGTTCAGCTGTTTTTCAAAGATGGCGACCACCTTACTGGTCATTCTGGATTGTTTGTTTTTTAGTCTTATGGGACTCCAGATTCCATGAACTCAAACAATTCTAGGACACTAAATTTATCCAGAAAGAACTTTGCATTGCTGACACCATTTAAGATTAACAGAACCAGTGGGGACAAAACAAGATATTCAACAAACCTCTCGCCAGTGAAGGCAAAATAAGACCCTTGCAAGATACAGTTGAGGGATGTGGAGGTGGCAAAAGAAAAAACAAAACAAGATAACCAACTAGCCTTTAGGCCAGAGTTCAGCACATGCAATTTCTCTTAAAACATATAAAATACATAAATCTGCAGATGATACTCCTATAGGTGCTAAAACACAATCTTCAGATACATGCAAGAGCTATATCTTAGATTCTATTTTTGTTTCTTCTATATTCAACTACTATTTTCTCCAGATATTTTAAGAGATTATCAAAGTCATTCCTCCCTACTTCTGGAGATAGCAATAACCGGCAAACAGACAGAAAGTGTTGAGTTCTCATACAAAAAAAAAAAAAAATACACACACAGCAAGACTTAATAAGGGTCTCAGAGAGCCACTCCAAAACACGTGCCTCAAAATCCAAGAGTTCTTACATCACAAGCTCCCCAGAGTCCCTAGTAAACAGTGGTATTTAAGAAACTCCCTCTTTCTGAAGACTTGTCTGATCCTCAACCCCTGGGGGTTCCACTGGGAAACATGATTTGGTTATCTCATTCTCAGCACCATTTTTGTGCTGGGGGGAAAGATTCAGATATATTCTAGGAACTCATTGCCACGGAGTCCATTCTGGCTCATAGTGACCCAAGGCACTGAATAGAGTGGCCCCTGAGGGTTTCTGAGGTTGTAAATCTTTACAGGAGCAGAGAGCCTCCTGTTTCTCTTGCAGAGCCCTTTGGGTGTTTGAACTGAGATTAGCAGCCCAACTCCTAAACCACTACACTGCCAGAGCATTTAGATGCCTTCTTATTGAGCCCTGCACAGGACAAATACAAAATAATGACAAATTATCTATCATGAGGGAAATCACCAGCATGATGGCAATGTGTTTCCACTACTCACAGCCCAAGCCCCAACACTAAACTGGCTTCCATCAAGTCGATTCTGACTGGTAGCAAGTCTATGGACAGAGTAGAACAGCTCCTACGGGTTTCTGAGGCTGTAAATATTTATGGGATTAGAAAACCTCATTTCTCCCACAAATCACAGCCTAGTTTTTATAAAGATATTTGAGAACAAAAAAAGTCATCACAAGATTATGATTGGCGGTAGGTACGATCCATCACTATTGCAGGGAGGACAAACATGATTAGTATACATACACAGTTGCAGATTGGCAAATCTTAGAGGGTTAATTCTTGGGCTTGGACTACCTGGCTACATGGTGATCAGGATAGGACTCAAGACTATGCAGCACAGAGTCAGTCACGAGGATCCCAACTTTTAACTTAAGCTGGAAGGAGACCTGGTGGCATAGTGCTGGTGTTGGGCTGCTAACCACAAGTCAGCACAAGGTCTCCCTCTGAAGGAGAAAGATGAGGCTTCCTACTCCTGTAAAGATTTACAGTCCTGGAAACTCATAGGGGAAGTTCTACTCTGTCCTATAGAGTTGCTATAAATTGGAAACAACTTAATGGCAGTGAGTTTGTCTTTGTACATTTTTTATGGATGTGGGATGGGGAGTTTTAATATACTTTCAAACATACCTTGAGGGCAAAGCTACACACCGTAGGTTCACCTAAGACTTGTCTAACCGTTGACCAATCCTGGTATAATGGTAAAAAGAACACAAATGACAACTGGTTCATACTTTAGCATGAATCCTTCCAAAGTACTTTAGAATTTAAACTCTAAAACAATCCTCATTGACCTCTCAGGCTTATCATAAAGGAGAGTGCTTATATTGTATTTGCCAAGTCTACTTCATTGAATAATTTAGCTTATTAATCAAAGGGTAAATTAAGTCCATGTTTATTTCTCAATATAATACATATCAATGACTGTTATACATATTTATAAGGCACAGAGATACAACTAAATGAAAATATGTTCAGAAACAAAAATATCCAGCATATATAGTCACCCCATTATGAATCCATTTTTATTTCTGATCTATATTGATAAACCTCACCAAAAGGATACATTGACAAGTAGTTGATCACAAAACATCAAATGTTTACTCATGTATAAGAGGCTTCTGCTCTGTTAATAGGTGATAGTAGAATAATTGAATCGTGGAAGTTAAAACTGCCCTTTAAAGACCATCAACACACGCACAAAAATGTTACTAAAATGGAACATATTTGAGAAAATTGAGAGCAATTTGGGAAAACAGAACCTAACCCAGGAGCTCAACATCTACTGTGGATTGAACCATACCACCCTAAAATATATGTTGTAAATCCTTACCTCTATGCCTGTGGTTACCATCTCATTTGGGGAATGGGTTGTCTTGGTTATCTTAATAAAACAAGATTAGCGAAGAGTGTTCTTGAGCGAAAGTTCTTTGAGATGCAAAAGTAATTAAGTAAGCAAGCAGAGGTGAGCAAAGCCATGCACCAAGTCATATGAAGATCAACCAGGAACAGAAACTCAAAGTGACAAGAGCTTTGCCCTAAAGCTGGTACCCTAAACTCAGACTTCTAGCGTGCGAGAGTGTGGTATTTCTGTTAAAGAACACTACATAATTAAGACAGTATCTAATAATACAGAATCAAGTTTAAGGAAAGAAGAAATTTCCTTTGGGAATCATTAATTCTACCCAGAAAAGACTTTTGGAGAGAGTTGTGATATTTAAGATGGATTTTATTTCTAACTAAGAAAAATGAGAAGGAGTATTAAAAATAAAGCAAACTGGGTGCATCTAAAGTGGTGAAATATGAGCCTCCGTTATGCTGAATCTAATGCTTGTATTGCTACTTTCAGTGGTGGTTGGTTGAGTGATAGGGAAATGATAGCTGAGCTGGGTATAACAACCATGCCCAGTGAAGCATCCTGCCTTTTCCTTTCAGTTATGTTCTCACAAATGAGTCTTCCAACTGAAGTTCCTTATATTGACTTTGTTATTTTTGTTAGATGTCTTCAAGTCAGTTCTGACTCACAGAAATCCATTCAGGAAAGAGCAAAACACTGCCTAGCCCTGCACTATTCTCACAAAGCTGCTCGATAGCCCTTCCTAAATGAGCAGTGTTTATACACTGACACCCTTGCCTAATTCAGGAGCAGAGGCAGACGAAACAGGAGGAATGAAAAAGGGAACTAAATAAGGAGTTAAACCTTCGCTCTAAAATATCAAAAATGCTAATAATAACATCCATAAAATGAATGAAAATGAAAGTATTCATATATCTTTCAAAGAATTCACACCAAAGTATGCCATGATGATGACAGCATGTCTACTTTTAAAAAGGAGAAAAAATTAATATAAAGTCATACAAAAATCAAATGCAAACAAGTGCTTCCCCATTTCAACGTAGAAATCTTTCAACCTCTTCACCAAGTTAGTTGAGTCTGGTTCAAAGTCCTTTATGCACATTATGTAACAAATTGGAGCATGCGCCCTATTTCCCGAACTGTTCGTTAGCCACAGATGTTGTGTAAGTCTTGGGTCTTGGTACCTTCAACATCACAGGGGTGGGCATGTTTTTTACTTCATGCTTTGTGAGGTCTATTTCTTTCCAGACAGTAGGTAGTACTACAGCAATGCTTTATTTTCCTCCATTGTCTAAAGAAAGAACTGGTTTGTGTTGGGAGAAGGGGGTGTCACACAGCCATAAAGTACAATGTGGGGATGAAAATACCATGAAGTGAATGGAGGAGAAATATAGCCTCTTAAGCCCTAACAACTTCTTGGAAAAATAGATCACAATCTTTCCAGTCCAGCCAGGTTCACTTCTCTGGGTCCATGCTCCCATCTGTTCTGGTTCCTCTGCTCTGTGCAGTCCATTCCCAGGGGAGCAGCAGCATGCGAATGTCAGACTCTCTGGCGCAGACGTACATGAGTGGAAGGGAGGGAACAAAAGGAGCATCAGACTGATACTCTCACATTTCACTGTCACTGAGATGGGACAAGGCAAAATACCTCCAGCTTGGGTATAAAAGGCACCCCACTAGCATGAGGAGGCGCCCATCCAAATATGGAAATCCAACTACAAAGTTAAACAAGATCCATTTTCAAAGTAGAGCTTCCTTTCTAAACCTTAAAAAAAAGCAAAAACTCTACACACACACACACCCCTGCCTAACCGCTAGGTCATTGGTGCATACTTTTGGCAAGGCAAGTATTCCTTTGTTGGGCTTAGGCTGTCTATTCAGTGGAGTTTGGGGATAATCGCTTACCAATGAGAGTCAGAATGGAAGCTGGACACAAACCACTCATCTCACAGAGACCCTCTGATGTTCTAGTAGATAATCCATGCCACAGGACAAACATGCCCTTCCGTGTGGGGCTTGAAAATCAGACCCTTGTGTCTTATTTAGCCCTTGAATGAAGGCCAGTGCTCTGTGGTATAATGGAGTATTAATGCATGCACTGACTTGTGTTTTTCCAGACTCGACGAATAGCATCAGCTAAAGATAGCACAGTAATATAACATTTCAGTCATGGCCTTTTTTTTTTAAGGAAACTAAATTAAACATTTTAAGGATAGTCACATAACAGGAACAGGAGAAACCAAACTTGGATAAATGCATATGCCAAAGGAAAGGAGAAGTGCATCATAACCTAAGAGCAAAGGCTAGAAAGAAGCCAGTTTCTTGCCTAGCATGACCACAAAATTGGCATGTGGCCTTATCCAAATTACACATTTTCTCCTCTCTCTATTTCCCCTTACCTTAGACATGAGACTAAGGGCGTTGAGTTATTCTTGGGTATGCTATAAGGATTCACTGAGAGGATATGAGAAATCATTTTAAAAAGCCAATTCAAATGAGATCTGTCCCTGCTAAGACAGCACCCAAGTCATTTGTGATACCTTTGCGTGCTCTCGTGACAATGGTAGGGCAGAATGAGGTACTGATCAAGATAAAGGTATTATTCGAGCGGATCTTCACCAGAGAGTCTTGGCAACCGACAATGGGAAATGAGCTTGAGAAGCTACGCATGTCTCATGTTGGACATACAATAGGGGTTCAGTGTGGCGTTGCCTGGTCTCCTCTTCACAAAGAAATGAGCCACAGGTCTTGCTTTTCCAAACCCTGTGCCTTCTGCCCAAGCATTGACCATGTGTAGTAGAGAACATTTCCCTTATTAGAGACCTCTCATGAAATGACACACGACCCCAGGGAATAAGAAGAATCTGATTGGAAATCATTCTCCTGTCCAAAAAGTGAACAAAGCAGTCCACTGATTTTCAGCATTAAATTCTGGTTTTGTTTTTGCTTTTGTTTGTTTTTATAATTTTGTTTAGTGCTGAATTCAATCACCACTAAGTCACTAAGGCTATGCATAGGTGGGATGACTGGTCTTAATAAATATTTGCATTTACCCAGAGATTGGGAGCTGTTTCCCAAATTACACCTACCACCGGAAGCCAAGCTCCTCCTTCCTTCACTGTTGGGATTTGAGGGAAAACTTCAGAGGTTGTCATTTTGAAGATCAACAATCAATTGAGACTTCTTGCATCACCTCTACATCCTAGGGTGTCTCATGTGGATGGATGAGAAGAAACCAGGAAGTGAACTCCGAAAATGTGTTTTACTCATTTGAAAGCAGAATCAGCTACTTTAAAGAAATGAATGTGCTTGGGGGGAGAATTCAGAATGAATGGAAGAGACAGGGTCAGATGGCTTGTCCTTCAGAATTCAGAGAGGTCGTATGTTTCTAAAAGAAAATTATCGATCCATTGAACTCATCTGCTTTCAGACCAAATGAAAAGAATCAAGTCAGAGAAATGACGTGTTTAAGGGCGTGACAGACTTGGGATTTTTTTTCTGGCCATATAAATAGCTCTTTAAGGCATAGTTTAATTACTTGCTGCTATTTTCTCCCTCTAAATGCATCCTCGGATTTCAAAAGGTCAAATGAAATCTCACGTATGATTTCACCTTCCATGTAGAAGACCATGATTCCAGACCAAGACACTTTGTGGGCCGCCACCAGGCTGGTTTCAACAGAGCTTCCAAACTAAGACAGACTAGAAAAGAAAGACCGGGAAATGTACTTGGAAAGTCAGCCAGTAAACATCCAATGAATGACAAAGGTCCCATCCCATTGTGCAAGGGGGTTGCTCTGAGCTGGAGCCCATTGGACATCAGTCAATACCAAACACATGATTTCTCTAGTGATCTGAGAAATAGGCATCACGTAACCCCTCACTCAGCAACGGAGACCAAAGAAGGAGATAAAAAAAAAATCAAAGCTAAAAAAGTCAGGCAGACATCTTCCCAAGGGTGAGCTTCCAAAGGGGAGATGGGATGGAAGGCATGGGATGCAGGCACGGTGCCTGCACTTCCTGGGTCTCTCCGTGGGTCCCTTAGGTGCTCTGCTGCTCAAGAAAGCGGGTGGCTCCACTGGCTAAGGCCCCTGCCAGTCATCTCAGGGGTCAAGGCATCAGAACTGCTGATTTTTTCCAAAATCTTCTCCCTGCAACAGCAGCAGCAGCCACGGCAGTTTTCCTGCAAAGCAAACAAAATATGAATCTTGTTAATTCAGCAGGGCTTTTAAAATTGTAATTAGCTGGTTATGCCCCTTAGGGAAACCACAGATGATTTTTTACAACATGTATGTGTGTGGGAGAAAAAAAAAAGAAACCTCTTGAAGTACTCCACTGCTTACCAAATTTTTTTTCTTTTTATTTTTTTAAGTTTATGTGAGATATTTTAGTGCTCTTTGCAATACTGAAGGACAAGGCTTCTTTGTTTCGTCTGAGGTACAACCAGCCCCTGGAGCCGTGGCCGCCCATTCGTTTTGTCGTCAGTGCAAATCACCGTGTGAATATTTCCATTTGCTTTTATAACCACATCTGACCTGGGTCGGTCAGACCACTTGCTCCCCTAGGTTATTCCTCTGGGTCTGAAGAAGTACCCTAAATTTACATCTCAGAGTCTGGCAAAAGATGCGATAGAAATGAGAAATGAAATGCCACTCGGTTGATTTTTGAAATGTTTCCTCAACACATCAAAAAACCTCGAGCAAATTGGAGGAGATTTATGTGCCTCCATTTGCATTGTGAACTGTGCTTTATTCCTACCGCCTGGAAGTCTTTCTGTTTCCACAGGAATAATCTTCAACCACCAGATTTTAAAAATCAATATTGTCTCAGATTTGGTTTTACTCATAAGATAGCTTGCCAAAAATCTTACCCTGCAAGGGAAGGAGGAAATATTGCAGTAAAGGATTTTTCTATAACTGTCTTCTCAAATAAGGCTGCCCCTCAGTTTGTTTTCATCTATAAGAAGGAAGGGAGGACAGAAGGAAGGGAAGGGAGCGGGAGGGGAAAGGAAAAGAACGGAAAAGAAAGAAAGAAGGAAGAAATAAGCCAAGAAGCATCATCTCAACCACTTGGACCTGAAAGAATTCTTCCTGGCCTGTGATTGCTGGTTAGGTGGCACCGAGTCAGTTCTGACCCATAGCGACCCAATGTAGAACAGAACGAGAGACTGTCCAGTCCGGTGCCAATCGCACTCCTGTTCCTCTATTTGCGCCCATAAATTCCTGTCACCAAATGTGATTAAGGAGCCCAGGAAAGGCAAGCAGAGATGAACTCCATTGAGAAATGGGGGTCATCAACAATTCAAGCAAAGGTTTTGATCTACTGGGTTGGTGTGGCCATCCAACTTTGATTACCTTCTCTATGTAGATATCACCTCCTGGGGCAACATTGTCATGCACCACAGTGGATTCAAGGAGAAAGAGCTCTACCCAACCTACACACATTTCCTCATAGTTCTTACCCCCAAGATCACAGTGGTTTTGAACACAACCCGCTCAACCGATGAATGCATTCCCACCAGGGCTCTAAAGTGACCATCGTTACAGCGGGAAGGTTGTTGATGACCGACTCTCAGGTTATGAGGTGACGGAGACAGGGAGCTTCAAAGATGCTTCTGGGTAAGTCGGTGGGGTGGGAGAGGAGAACCAGCCCGTCTGGCTGCCACCATAGCTTACCTGGGAGGCAGGCCTGTGTGCTTGTCTTCTCATTGTTATCACAAGAAACCAGACTTTTGACTCTTTCCAAAACTAGAATGTCTCATTTTTGACAAAGAAAACTGGTCTTTGTATATCGAAAGCATAAGCCTTCATTTTGGCCTTTCTTAGAGGACTGATAAATGCCAAATGCCTTCCTAACACTGTGTTGTGCTTTCTAGGACAATTTATTGATTTACCTGAACCATCTTATTCTACAAAAAATTCAAGGCAGTTTATAAGAATATATGAGAGGCCTCTAAAAGTCTGTGGGAAAATTCCATGACCTTTTTGTTTCTTTTTTTT